ATGTAGTAATTCTTAAGTTGCTACAGTTTTTTCTAGCAATTTACACATCTTGAAGTTGGACTTTCAGTAACCTTCAAAATCTGCATGAATACATTTCCGACATGTCACAATGTGCAGCCATGCAAAGTCCAAAAACTGCCTCATACCACAGCGAGAATGCTTCTGTTCGACTGAGCCGCAGTGACAGCCTAAGCGGGGCAAAAAGCCTACCGAAGGCTGACCTTTCACCCTGCAAATGACAGCTTGGCGGAATCAGCCGTGATCTCACGCCTGGCCCCACCCAGTTGTAATGACAGATCAGCGTCCCCAAATAACCTGGGGACGCTGAACTGTCATTAAACAATAACAATTGGGTGGAGCCGGCTGTGACATCACGGCCGGCTCCGCCCAGTTATTCATTGGCCGGGAACTGATAGAGGACTCTAGCAGGTGCTGGCCAATAGGAAACAGTTGGGTGGAGCTAGCTGTCACTGCTAGCTCCGCCCAATTGTTTTTTAAAATTATTATTTTTTAAATCTATTTTTAAATTTTACTATTCATTTACATTTTTTAAAAATGTTTTCAACCCTTTTTTTTGACTATTTTCATTGATTTTATATTCTGCTCGGTACCACTGAGATACCGAGCAGAACAGCCGAGCTGAATGTCAATAGGGGCGAATGGCAGCGAGTGAGCTGCCGGAGCTTCAGCTCAGCTGATCCAGATGTTACATCGGCTGTGTCGAAGTCCTTCTGCACGTCAGCTCAGCGGAGCATGTGTGGCTGACCGAAGTGCAGCCGATGTACGGCTGAAATCAGCCCTACTGAGCCGTAGTGAATAGCCGAACATCGTTCGCCTCGGTTATTCACAAGGCTGCCTTTGGCAGCTTTGTGAATAACCCCCCTAGTGTTTGTATGTATTGCAATTTATCTGCTTGCACAAGGGTAGGTGAGGCACCTTCCCTGGTGCATACATTTTATTAACAGTCCACCACCACTTCCAATGTAGGGGCAAACTGTTGATGCTATATCAATCTTGTATAATAATAATAATGCAGACAAGAACAACACAGGCACCCTGGGTAATGCTTAAATAAAGATAGCAAGTGTATCTGATGTTAAGTCCACTTTAATCATATTCCAGCCATGTAAATAATATTGAATGAGCTAAAGTGTTTCTTCATGTACAGTTTATATAGTGGTCCTTTTTCTGACTGCAGTTATTCCTTAAAAAGTCATTCAGTCAGCTTGTGCTGCTTCATCTCTTGACAGCTGTCACAACCTTTCCTAATCTTCACAAATATTAGCTACTGCCAATGTATGCGCCAATTTCGTTGACCTGATTTCTGTTTAGAAATGTAAAAAAGATGAGGATAATCCTATATAATGTGTGGTTGTAAAGCAAATAATACCTGAAATATAGCTTAATTAAAATGTATCTATTATTCAGTGGCTATTATGAACATCATATTTCTCAGACTGGAGGAACATTTTGCAATGTACAAATGAAAAGAAATCAAGGACAGATGGACAACTACTATTAGCACTGTAACAAGTATTACATTTGTATCATAGCCTGGATATATGACAAATAGGAGAAATTACTAAGTGCAAGCCATACTGCTATAAACATGGTTTGATATTCCCTTAACATGTTAGCAAGCAATGACCTTACATTGAAACTGACATATAAATAAAATGGAAAGAAATAGAAAGGTGTTAGGCTATTTAAAGGAAAAATATAATTGCAGGGAAAAACTTTCAGTACACAACCCTTTTTTGCCCCAGTTTTGCCGGTAAAAGATGCTGCAGGTCACGTCAAAGTAGGAATTGATGTTGTAGAGGTCATTGTTGCCTCCACAGTCCAGGAGTTGTGTTGAGTGGGCCAATGCTGTGACCTGCCCTTCCAATACAATACTGCCAGCACTGCCCCTTCAGAGAAAAGAGGAGCTGTTGTTTGGGGTTTCTAAGTATACAAATATCTGCAGGCAGGGGCGGAATATATCAATAAAGTGCAGCCCTGGCAAAAAAAAAGAAAGATATTCTTATTTATTTATATAGTCAACCATAGAAGTACTGATTATTACAGAAGTAAGATTTAACTTGGTGCTCTGTTAAGTTCTAAATGCAGAAGCTTGCAGGGATTTAAGTTATTTGATTAACACATAGCTTGGTAAACTCCCAAATTAACTTTCAGTTTAAATCAGCTAAATCCATTAGTTTAGTTAGTTTAAGCCCAAGGTCTGTTATTTTAACATAAATTAAATGTTCCATTAATACCCTGCCTCATGTAATATCACTGAGCATAAGTACATTGAAGTAAATCTAAAGGCAACACTTTTTGGAGTAGCATAGGGTTAAAACCACTGTCAGTTTTTTTTCTTTCTATTTGTGTCTCATTATGGAGATTTCCCTTCACTTCCTGTGTTGTGCCTTTTTAGTGCGGTAATACTGGAAATTTTGCATTTATACTTCTAGTAATGCCTTTGGTTTGCAGTTTTAAAGTGGTTTATGGAGTTATCTCAAATAAGTTTCATATGTCCATTAAGTGTTTTCAATTTTTAAATGAATCATATGCAAAAATGCTGGTTTGTGAGGGGAAAACCTGACCTATGTTACAGCACAAATTTCTGTAAAGTATTTACTAATCTCCATATTATGGGCACACTGTTTTAATATATTGTACTTTCTTGTGAAGGCTATGGAAATTGCTTTTTCTTTGAATTACTGCAACCCATTGCTTGTTTACTCATGTATAACAGACCTGATATATTTGTTCTTTTCATAAATATCTGCATTATGTGGGGAAGTTTGTGTCCAAGTACAACGGGTTGTTTTTATGTCACAGAAATGCATTTTTTCCATCCTTGACTTTATAGAAATTGCAGCCAAATTACAAAAAGATAATTAACAAAGGATATGTGGAAGTTAAAAAGCTTTTGCAAAGAAGTTCCTTTGAAATGAAAAATTAAATCAAAGCTTGTTTGTATTGCTTTCAGCATACTGTATTACTAATATTCTTTATTTAGGCAAAACACATAGCATTACAGTAAGAATTTTATATGTTACACACTGCCTACCATGAACTTGTGTGACTTTGTCTTAAAGGGTTTCTTAACCCTCCGTTTTTATTACCCATATCTACTGCTAGCAAGCAGTAGATAGATGCAAAAAGTTTTTTTTTTTAAAGAAACACTTTAAAATCAGTTCAAACTTACCCCTGTCTTCGCCGTGCGCTCCCGTCCGAAAATCCGAAACTGCTAGAGCGGCCACAAAGCATCTTGGGGCGGGCGCATGCGCAGTTTGGATTTTCGGCCGGGGGACGAGAAGAGACGCAAGGTAAGTCTATGGACGCGTGCACCCGCATGCAGACACCGTGGGACAGGAAGTGCCAGCAATGACAGAGGAGTCAGCGCTGGATTGGAGACCCGCAGCAGCGCTGGAGAGAAGGCTGAAAAAGGCAGGAAAGAAGAGGAAAATCGGATTAAGAGACATCATTTAAGGTAAGTGCTTTACTTAACATTGGGGGGAGGGAAAAAATGTGACTTTAATGTCACTTTAAGCAATCTAAACCCCTCATAAAAAAAATGCTAGAGATTTAACTCTTCTCTTTATCCTAGTATTTTTGTGTGTGTGTACACTGTCTGCAGGGCATTCGCAGTGCACACTCCCGGCATCTGCAAGATGCTGAGAATTGAGCCAGATACCGGGTATATGAAAACTCCAGCGTGCGTGCACTGGAGTTACATCCTCAATGGCCAAAGAGGGAAGACTCAGGGACATCCTGTGGTTTCTTTTCTTAGGGCCATAACACGCTGGCAAAGAACAGATAACTATTATTGCCTCTGGCCTTCCTGCCGCTCATCGTTCGCCATAGTTTTAACATGCCTTAACATGTTTAATACAAACTTTTATTTTTTGTCTCTGGGTGAGGGAGACCTCTTTGTAAAGGACCAGGGATTTTACTATGCCAGATCTGCCTCCCAGATGTCTCGTGATTGGATGACTGATGAGGGAATATTCAAGAAGTAGCAAGCAGGGAGATCCTTGCACTGTATGTTCTCAGGTACATCCTTCTCCCTGGCAAGCCCTCAGAAGAACAGTAAACAGCACAGTCGAAATATCACGGAAACTCACTCCAAATCTTGTGTGATTTGCACTCAGAGGCAGCACTCAGTGGATGATTGCAGGCTGCAGATTTACAACTATTAGGATACAGAACAGAAGTACTTAGGCACAGTCTCATGCTAGGAGTTCTCAGGGTACTGCTTAGGCAAAATTAATTTCTCTATATTGCAAATCTTTACATTTTGGGTATAGGTTCTAATAAAATATGTCTTTGTATTAATGTAAGTAGCGTGGGGGAAACCTCATTTTGTTGCTAAAGATGCTTGCCCCTATTTTATTAATCATTTTAAAGAACTACAACAATCTCCATTACTAAAAGTTTTGGATAGATGGTGGAAGTGTTACACCTTTGTCTGGTTTTTATTGCTGTGTCAATACAGAACATAGGCCATCATTTCTATTGTTTTTCTCAATAAAAAAATATATACTACAGAACATAATTTAGTGCTTTCATTTTTAACTGAAAATGTACATTTTTTATAGTTTTTTGTTTACTATTACAGTGCAAGGGTCTTAGCCATGAACTGCCCTTTTATCTGTGCAGCATGTGGTTTTATTAACCATGCATGAAGTAAAAGTCTACTAGTTGTGCACTGTAACAAAAGAGTTCATATTTCTCTCTTTTTATGAGTAGAAAAACTTGAGCCTCAAGGTGTCAAAAAGACACCACATCTGTCGGGCACAGGCAACCAATCACCTTATTCATTTTATTTTTCAAACCTTTGTTCGAGCACAAGTGGAGGAAATGGACTGGTTGCTGTGAAAGACAACGCTCTTTTTTCCGGAATTTATATACAGGATTAATAGCTAACACTAATGTATAATCATTCTGTTATGGGATTTAATTTGTTAACTATATCTTTTTAGGATCTGATGATTTTTCCTTTCTTCTAGGTATGACAGAATCCTTCTGGAACCTGACCCAGTTCCTGTGTATGCTCTAAAATTGTTGGTGCCTTTGACTGAATACAATCCTGCCTCTATCGGGTAAGTAGTCAACTGAATAGGAAGAACGCAAAGTTTTAAGAATTAATTGGAGTGAGTTTATTAAGTTATAAAAGTTTTGATCTTCTGAAAAGGAATCATATACTCTGTTGTGTCCTGAATTCTCCAGTGGTTCATTGCTGCTCTGATTTCTATGTGGTCTTTTGAAATTGATAGTGAATGGAAATCAAGGGAGGTTACTGACAATTCCACTGTCTGTTGAAGCAAGCAGAAATAGCAGGATAGACATTAGAGGTAGACCATTGAAACCTTATGGAATACCATACTCCTGTTAATAAAATAAAAATAACTTGAGACGTGTACTCAAACTGCCTTCAAAGCATATAAATATAGTGGGAGGAGGATACCTCCATATATTTTACTCAGTCAGCCAAGGTAACAAATGCTGCCTTATTGGATGTCAGCTTTAATAGATTAAGATGACACATATAACTAAAGAGTTAAATCTTACAAATGCATTTAAGTACTTTAACTATTAACACAACTGTAGATTATGTGTGTTTCACTCGGCTGTAAATCCTCAAATCATCTCTGAATTAATGCTGACACTGTCCTTCTGTTAGGATCGTGGTGTGGGCCCGAAGTGACGAGGAGGTGCTCCCTTGCAACCCCGTCTGATGACCACTGGGGTTGAGAACAGTAGGTTCAGGCAGGGGGTGCATGGGTGCCGGATGCGGATCTTGAGGTCACGAGGTTTACTCGGTGACCTGGCAGAATAGCCGTCGTGCTTGAAGGGTTAAGCAAAAGGGAGTGTAAGAGACAAGCCGGGTCAAAAGCAGACGGGCAGCAAGGTACAAGGGATAAACAGAGAGAGGTCCAGAGACAAGCCGGGTCAGTAACAAGCGAGCAGCAGAGTACAAGGGGTTAAACCAGAGAGAGGTCCAGAGACAAGCCGGGTCAGTAACAAGCGAGCAGCAGAATACCAGGGGTTAAACTAGAGAGAGGTCCAGAGACAAGCCGGGTCAAAAATAGGTAAGCAATAGGAACAGGAATCACAAGGGGAAAAGGAACAGGAGCAAGGCAGGGCAAATGGCTAGTGAACAGGGACAAGAGCACAGCAGGAACCTCCAGTGCTGGCTGAATATCACCCAGCACTGAATGGGCGTCCTGCGGTGCTTAATATAGGCTGAGGATGTGCTACTGGGCATGCGCCGGCGTGATGACGTCACCGCGCCGTATTGACGCGATGGCGTTACGCTGCACGGGGCGTGACCCGCCAGGCCTTCTGGCGTCTGCGCCTGCGCGGCTGGGACGTGCCGGTGGACGCCCTCTCTGTCTGCGTCCCCGCAGAGGGACTCGGCATCTCCCGCGGGCAGGTAACTGACAACTTCCTTCTGGAGGGTGGCTACTTTTGTTCCCCATGGTCCCTATGTGTGTTGTAAAGTAGCCACCGCTCCAAGCTCGCTCACGAGAACTACAATCTCACATTTAGTTTACTAATTTGTATTGAGGTTGTAGCCCTTCACAGGAGCGAGCTTGGAGTGCTGGCTACTTTATAACACACACAGAGACCATGGAGAACAAAAGTAGCCACCCTCCAGAAGGAAGGACAGTTTCAGAGATGATTTGAGGATCTACAGCTGAGTGATGCACAAATAGACTACAGTTTTGTTAATAGCTGAGACACTTGAATGCATTTTTAGGATTCAAAGTGACATTAAAGGCAACAATTCTTCCCCCCTCCCCATTTCTGTTGTAAGCCTTTACCTTATTTGATGCCGCTTGCTGCAATCATCTTTTTCCTTCCACTCGTTTCCAACAGTCCCTCCAGTGCTGGTGCTGGTCTCTGATCTGCCGCAGACTCCTAGTGTCTCACTGTTTCTTTACTACGTGCATGCTCCTGGCTGCGTTCATTGCGCTTCAGTGTCTGTTTTATCGCCTCCACTCTACTGCGCTTGCTCCCACACACTTCTTCTTCACAGCTGTTCGGGAGGCGGGAGTGCTTCTGCCGGAAGTGAGCAGCGCTGGAACAGGTAAGTAATTAGGTATTAGCCTAATTTTTTTAATCATGGGGCATATATCTACTGCTTGCTAGCAGTAGATAATAAGATAGACTTGGATTTACATCTGCTCAGAAGAGGGTACACATGGATCCTTATATTTTGAATTATTTCACAAGTGTACGACTCTGATAAAGTCAATTTTCTTATGCTTAAAATGGTGGCTTATGATCCTGATATTTACTGGTCACTGTCAATAAAATATATCCACAGATATTATGTTGTATATTCCTATACAGTATTTTGATTTACAAATTACCTAATTGATGTGTCTCTGCTTTCTAATATAAACATGTATTTATGTTTGATTGTATTGATTGATTGATCTGTATTGATGTTTACTCTCTCGTAGGAAGCATCAGCTCTAATTGTATCGGAAATTTTAACACCTACTTGCATACAGTAACATTGCTATAGACATACTGTACAAATGTGGTCAATCCTGCAGGCATTATACAACTACCCGTAGGCATTTGTTCTGGCTGTCAGTTCCCTACAAATATACTGTGTATTCAGCGCACCCATGCATCCATATCTAAAGAATGTAAGAACCCCAACTGATACTATCTTTCATTGCACTCCTCCATTGCTCTGTTGAAGCCCCCCATAATTAACTGGTGCTTCCAAATATGGAGGAACATATGACCACTTCCCAGGATGCAGTGTTAACAAGCTTGAATACTGTCATGTGAAGGGGATTAGATAGATGTTAACTCTGTAAGTTTTAAAACAATCTCACATGGAGCTTACATAATTAGGACTCAGCCCTCCAAGAGGGGAAACACAGAGAAGGGGATTATTATTGGATGGGGGGAGGGGGTCCGCTTTCAAGACATACAGACACTTTGCCCTGAAAGGGTCAATCTCTTTAAATAAGAGGAAAGGGAGATGAGAAAGTCAGACAGTTCTTTTCACCACTTATCTTGGGGAGAATATGGATCAAACAAAAGCATCAAACCTGTCTGATCGATCTCTTTCACAGTCTGCTGCTGCAATAAACATGGGATTATTATCAATTATGACCAAATATGGATAGAAAGGATGATTCTAATGTCAATAGACAGCTTAAAGCTGGGTATACACAGTTATATTTTGTTATTCAATCTGCGGGCTGAATGAAAAATGTACAACAGATTCCTCTATTCACGCTAAACAGTGCATATAAATTAATTTCCCACTGTGTGCCTTAAATTCTGACAGCACTGGGTGTGCCACTGTCGGAATACCTGAACAGTGACAGCAGCTCATTGGCTGCCTTCACTATTCACCCAAAGATTTTAGTACTTTCGATTTTTTTGTAACTGAAGAATGCTGAATGGAAGGGAGGCGACAAGGCCAGCCACTGTGCAAATTTTGGTGGGTTCATCAAAAATTGGCCAAAATTTGTACAATGTATAGCCAACTTTGGATGCACACTAGTCATTTTTTTCATTTTGAGATATGAAAACTTCTGTGACACTTGACCAGCAGTACAATGATGCAGTATTTTGAACATTTTCTCTTTTAAACAGAAAAAAAATAGGCCTATTCACAGAAAGATTTTAGCAAGCAGTTGGGACATTTCCCTGTGCAATGAATATCTCTGACCGATGTGAGACTAGAAATATTATCAAAAGCAATCTTTGACATCAGTAGCTGCGCTTTCAATTATTGGGTCTTTGATGGACACCCTAAAAGCTGGAGTTTGTATCTGGTTGTCTGTAAGAGTTAAAAAAAACAAAGTCCAGGCACAAGGTAGTGATTTGAAAATTAGATGACAAGAGAGTACTGTATGTTTTACTATCTTTCTTGCATACCTGATTAAAATTCCTTATTCTCTGCAAATTATACCATGTGAAAATAATCAAAATTTCTAGATATAAACACAGTGTCTGTTACGGCTCTGCAACAAATATATCTATCACATTGCTTTCTGCAGGGAAATTCTTAAATCAAAAGCACTAGCAAAACATAGCAACATTTATATTAATAATTAACAGAGGTGGCATATTGTGCTGTTTTTCCACATAAATCTAGAGAACAGGATTACAAATAATGTCTCCTTGTACTAAAAACGTATTTGCAATACAAAATAAAGCTCTGAGGCCCAGACTTTTCCTGCGAGACATCTTTGTTCCATTACACAGCTAGTGTTCTATGACTCAGCTTACCCACTGTGACATCACAGAGCTTCAGACATAATCAATGGCAGTTTGATTCTGGTTTGCTAATTGACATAAGTAGTTGTTTAGAGAATTGAAATAGTGAACAGTACAGGTAAAGAAGAGATTCAATAGTAGATAGATACATTAAGTGTCATGCATATAATGCTTTTTTTGTAAAGTCTTTATTTTTCGAGTTTTGCATATACATATACAAGAACAAGTAACAAGAGGAGGGGGAAAGACAACAAACAGTGGGAATCAGCAGCACAAGGGACAATGAATAGAACAGGGGAAGGCTGGTCTTGTTACACGTGGAGACCAGGAGCAGGAAGCATCACAGTGTCATTCTGCAAACTTGTATAGCTTCTATATCTACTACGTCCTCCGGCACTTCGGCCTAGTCGCTCACCACATCCGTCAGCAGAGTGCGGTATTCGGAGGAGAGAGTGAAAGTCTGCCAGTAGGACCACTTAGCACAATGCTGAGCATGCGTGCCCCTATCCGAGGAGACTAGGTCTTCCATACGTTCTGTCTCACCTATCTTCCTCAGCCATAGAGAGATCGAAGGGGGATTCGCCTGTTTCCACAATGCCGGAATGCAGCTCCTGGCAGCGTTGAGTAAGTGGGGTAGGAGAGATTTCCCGTATCTTTTCCGGGACAGAGCATTGCAGTGCAACAAAAAAAAAAGCCGGGTCTGTGGGGATGTCTAGGTCAGTAAATTGCAGCATAATGCTACGAACCGAGGACCAGAAGGTAGAAAGCAGCGGGCAGGATCAGAAAATGTGGAGCAGGTTCCCCCGGGGAGTCTCCACAGCGCCAGCAGCAGTCGGGGGCCGAC